CGAACCTCGCCCGGATTGATGAAAACGTTAGCGGCGGTGGCAAGCGACTTTTCTTCCAGGTTACCGGTATAAGTCCATCGGCTATACATACTTCCACTTTGCGGACTACTCTTTCAGGCGAATCACCATCATTGAGGACACATTGTGAAATGATGAACGACCAAGTCGATACAGTTGCCTGGCGGCTGAAGCAAGTGCAGCGTGATTGTATCATCTAAATTGGCCATCTCTGTTGTCCCGCCGTTTGTCTTTGAACAATGCGGCGAGAAACCCATCACCAAACAAACCTCTTCGGCGGACTCGCCATCTAAAACTGGCGTCGTCGCAAACGGCTTACTACTGCTACCACCACCACAACCACCACCACCACCACTATATACTTCTTCTACTGACAACAACAACAGCTGCTGCTGCTGCTGCTGCTACTACTACTACTACTACTACTACCACTACGATGACGACTCCGGCTGCTGCTTACTACTACGACGACGACTACGGCTAACGATATTAGCAATACCTTTAATAACAATAACAATAGTAGTCGTAAAACTTGTAAAAAAGGATTCGATAGTGCCAATAATGCCAAGAAGCAATCATCGTCATCATCATCATCAACAACATCATCCACATCATCGCCATCATCACCAACATCGCCATGATCGTGCTCATGACGGTCTTGATTACAACCGGTGGAGGGTTTACGGGTCATTGAGGCCCTGCCCGCCTCCTCCTCCTCCAACTCATCGGGCTCCTCCTGGGCTTTGAAGTAACCAGGGAGAAAAAAGTATAGACTTTTATTTCATAATGGCTCCTTTAAGGAACAGGTCCCCAAAAGAAGTATTAAAGTATGGTACTCCAAAGCCCAGCCTCCTTGGGTGAGGAGGGGCCAGAGGCAGCCACCTGGTTCAGCTCAGGGGAGCTGGCGTGGGTACCACGGGACATTCATCGGAGACTCTAGGAGCTTCTGCTCGGAAGTCGATGAAGGTTTACAGGAAGTTCCTGGGGTTTGTAGGAGTTGCATGGGCTTTATCAGTTCTTTTGCGCCCTCTGGAATTGTACGACGCTTTTTCGAATTTGTAGGACTCAAAAAGGGCTGTATGGTGGTATAGCCGTACGGCCTGTAGGGCATTAGAAAACTTCTTTCTTAGTTCTTCTTGCCCTGGGGTTGTTTCTGTTTTCAGGATTCTTCGGGTTAGGGCTTAAGACTGCCGAGTCGAGGGACTGCCTCAGGTTTAAGGTTTCGGGTTCTCTTACCAGGGTTTAGGGTTTAGGGTTTAGGGTTTAAGGTTTCGGGTTCAGGGTTTAGGGTTTAGGGTTTAGGGTTTCAGCACTCACAACTGGGACAAGCCTGGCGAGGTTCCAAGTACATCGACGATAGCACATTG